CAGGCCTTTCCCTCACTATTGTCTGTGCCCTTGGACTGTGTATATATGTATATGATTTCTTTGGTTAATCTCTTCATTCGAAGTTGGTGAGGTGAGAATGCAGAAGGTGGTGATGAATGATTAGTCACAATAAAGAAAATCTTCTGTAGCAATTGACAATTTTTGAGTAAATAAATTTGAGAAATGTATTTATTTCCATAATTAAAGTAGTGCCACAGTTTCCTCCCTGTACATTGGAGGGTGTTAGTGAAGAGCTTAGGAAGGAGACTCGAAGCATCTCTCCTTGGCCTTTCTGCATTACTCATGTCCTGTAGCTTTCCCGTGGATTGCCTTTGTGTGTCCAAGAGTATTGAGCTAGGAAATGTTTCATCAGTGACCTTCACTATGTGATTTTTCTTGCTGTGGTGAAAATAGCTTATTAATTCAAACAGTGAAATCTGTTCTATTTAACATAAAAGGTGATATGTATGAATTATGTGTATAAGGCTTTTAGGGTGTAAAAACAGTCAATAAAAATAGCGTTAGTTTGGCTTTTTACTCTTTTTAAATTGTTGTCACTCTACCCCATTTTAGTGTTGTATGGTCATCTTCACACACTATATAGTAAATATATAATAATGATTTTTTCCATATCAAAGATGTAAACTTTAGGCAAGATTGAATTAGGTATGCATTTTTAAAGCTTCCAATTGTATTTTGATGAACTCCTTAGATAATCAGTTAATAAGTGACTGATTTGCATAAAGTATATTTATACTGTATGGGCTAGTGGAAAATCACTTTGTATTTTTCCTATTACATTAATGGTTCCATTTATTATTATAAAGTTGTATAATTGGAAACTGGCAAGATATTTTTATAGCTTATTAGCTCAGGGTAATTATCTGCATGTTTTATTGCATATTGAATTGCAATTGAAAGTATTGTATTATGATATTTAGGTAAAGTGGCAACCCAAAGTAGTTAAATTGTTATAGTAACCACATACTTGCAGTGAAAATGAACACATTTATTGAAAGACATTTCTATAAATGCAAACAATGTGTTCCCTTTTGATAACTTTGTTTTTCTCTTGTTCTTTTTTTATTTTGATTTTTTTATAATTTGCTGCTTGCCATTGCAGGAAGTGGAGGTTTGTATTCAGCTTCTGTATTTCATATTTTATTTTAGATTTTATTACATTTTAATTACTCATATACACTCAATTCACATTATTTTCCTCCTTAGGACGATTATTTCCGCACTTGGAATCCAGGAAAGGCCTTCGATCAGGGTAAGAATCTAATTATTTTAAAATAAAAATATTTACATGTTTATAATCAGTGTTTTGAACATCATATTAACTGTCTGGCTAGATTTTAAAATACTGAATTGGAGAGCTTAAATGAATGGAAAAAATTTATGCAATAATTGCTTTCATTTCAGAATAATGTAGTTAGAAATAAGTTTATTAGGTAACATGATTATGTCAGGATGACTCATTGTTAGATGCCGACCTGGGGTTACTGATTTAGGCTTCTGAACTATATACCATGTCCACTTTTCTTGGTACAAGTCACTTCATCCAGTTTTCGAATAAATTCACGTTCACTCATTAGGAAACAGACTTATTTGTGTAAAATTTCAAAACAAATGGCTTTGGTGTCTCTTTCTCAGTTGTTAACAACTTTTGTTTAAAACAGACCTGCCTGGTAATTAGACTCAGCTGGGTTCTTAGTAAGGCCCCTTAGTAAGGCCCAAACATAAGAGTCTTACATATCATTAGGGCTCCCCACACCTCTGTACACACAGTTTGTAGCTCTGTTTTGCTTCCTTGAGAAGAAAAAGCAGAACATATGCACGGGAAGAGAAGTACTTCCACCTGTGCAATGATAATGAAAACATCAGACTCAGTGCAACGATGATTATATAAATCACTAAACAGATTTGTTTACTAAATTGTACAATATTAGAACCAGAGACTCTCCTTTGTGAAGTTTGAAACAAAAGAAATTTTGACTTTATATAGGCTGTAGTAACCTTACAAAAGATATTCCTTCATGAAAAGGCTTCAGTTAAAAATAGAAATCATTTTTAAGAAGAAACCATAATATGTTATTAAAGGGAGTTTTGGGTATTTTGAGATGCCTGTGAACTTTTGATTTAATATTTGGAATGAATGCTCCAACAGCCAGCCTCTCTTATAGGGAACCAACCCAGGTGGACCTAGACAGGGACTATTGTCAATATTGATCTTCACCTGCAATCTGATATAGTCTTTCATATTCAATTCCTTCTTTAATATTCATTTATTTCATGTGATTTCACTCTTCCTGTCCACTGTGTTTGTGGAATATACATTTAAAAATTCTAAAAAAATATAATTTTTATTTGGCTACTAATAAGTGAAGTGAAATGCAGTAAAAGGCAAGCAATAAAAAAATAATGGCATGCAGACTGAGATATATTTGCAAGCTTTCTTGGGGAGTGAATTTTTATGATGGAATCATAAACCTTGAAAAATCAGAGTTATGTATGAAATGGATGTTAACACTTTAATTTGCCATACTTGGGGCATCCAATTACAATAAAGTTGCTTCGTTTTTTGTTTTTTATTTTTGTGTGTGTGGTGATGTGTTGAACTGCGATTTATTTCTTACTAAAAAGTAAAAAAATAAAAATAAAAAAGATTGGTATAGGGAGGCTTCCAAACCCTAATATACTTTAAAACTGATTTACTTTAATTTGCAAAGAGGTTTTCAATTTACTAACTTGTCAAAAAAACATCGTATTTATGAGGCAAAGAGAAAGCTTATATGACATGATAACAGCTGATATTTATTGAGTGTCCTATATTGAGTACCTATTCTAAGTTTTCAATATATTAGTTCATTTAATCTTCAAAATAACCGTGCCAGGCGATAGGGAAGGTGAGGCACTGAAGGGGAGGTTAAGCTCCTGCCCAAGGTCACACTCCTGCAATGTGGCAGTCAGGATTTGGGTCAGGCAGCCTGACCCTAAACCCCACTTCCTAACTATTATGCAGTACTGTTCCTCATATGATAGCTCTAAAATAAAATAATGGCATGCACACAGGATTTTAAAATTTATGCTTTAAAAATAAATATTTACACCCGGCCAGCGTGGCTCAGCGGTTGAGTACCAACCTAGGACCCAGGAGACTGAGGTTCGATTCCAGGTCAGGGCACACGCCCGGATTTCAGGCTCAGTCCCTGGTAGGGGGCGTGCAGGAGGCAGCCCATCAATGACTCTCTCACCAATGATGTTTCTATCTCTCTCTCTCTCACTTTCCCTTCCTCTCTCTGAAATTAAAAAAGACATATTAAAAAATAAGTATTTACTTGAATGAACATTAGAAATAGAGCTGGATGCTTTGTTTCTATGTTTTAGACAATGTTTTGTAGACTATCAGACCCTGGGTTTTGATTGTTGGAACATGTATAGTTGGTAAACATACAAAGGAAAGTAATAGTGAAAATTATCCTTTCCCATCTAATTCTAAATAAGATAAAGTGCATCATTTGGACAGAATAGACTTGAGCTATGTTAATTTCTAATATGTTTGTTGTTCTTTCTGATGATATAATCTTCCATTCAATATTATTCTCAAAACCTCATTGAGCTGTTGAATATAAATAGAAGGCTTTTTATGATTGTTTATAATTTTTAATGTATTACTTTTTTCTATTGGCTTATGAACAGCCATAGCACGTCAATTAATACAAGATTTTTTCACAGTTTTATTTTATGGGCGTTTGCCTATTTCCTGAAAAGAGCGACAAAGAAAATTGCTTTAGCATTACATTTTTATGCTTCTATTTATACTATTTTTAAAACCATATTCATTATAACGTTATATTTCCATTTCCATAGAATGCTTCACAATATGTGCAGAAATTAAAGTAGCACTAATGAGAATGTTAATTAATATTTCATAATATAAATGTCATTTTTCTGCCCCAAATTCCTCTGTACATATATATGCATAAACATGGCCACATATACATACACACATAAACTTATGCATATTTACACACCTACAAACACACACATACACTTGTCAACTTGCTTATAGGTAAAATTAACTTCATACATATCTACCTTTTGGTTTAACTGTCACAGATTTTCCATCTCATATAATTTTTTTTATTAATCAGAGCATTTCTACTTTGTTTACTAAAAAAAAAATCAAGACTTTTGGTAAAATATATTGGCTTCAAATTAATTTAAGTAACACAATTTTGGTGGTGGTAAATCTGCGGTAGACTAAAAGAAAACCTACTGATGCCCAAAATAAATTGCTTTGGTTATTTCCACTAGAAATTTCTGTGCCATTACTTCTCTTCATTAGTGTGGCTAATTATGAGTTGACACAATAGAAATTGACTGAAAAATAGTTTTAATGAGGACATGCATCTTCTTGAATACAGCATAAAAATTCTATGTTTACGATGACAAAGGAAAGAAGAGATGCATGGATAAAGCTTGAGTGGTAGCGTGATAAATATTTTAATGAATGCTTTGGATAGATATTCTGTAGCTTTAAATTTGTTTTTTACTTATTTTTTCTTCACTGCCTTAATGCCACCTTGGTTTGGGGTCACATACTAGAGTGTTTAAATGATAAATCACTGGAATTTTTTGCAGTATTTCCAGACAGATGTGTAGAGACTGTACTTATACTGAAGAACTGTATCTACAAGGGTCACCTTTATTCAAAAGTTTTGTGGGTGGTTGTTTTTTCCTGCAAGATGTGATGTCTAGGTACCCTGAAGTGAGAGTCGGAAGCAAAACGTGCTTTCCATATTTCCCCAATTTTACTCTTCAAACCAGTTTGGTGTTTCTCCACTTGGTATCTACCATGGCAGTGAATTACAATCAACAGAGTAATAATAATGAAGGGACATTTAAATAGCTCCAGAGATTTCTGGACACATCAGTTTCATGTTATTGATGTGTTTCACCTGCTCGTGCAGGTAGCTGGGAGCATGGAGTTAGGGGCCAGAGGTAGAGCTGTGACTTAGAGCAGCACCCTTCTGTCATTTCGCAGCTGTTTCTTCTGGTGCTTTCTTCCTCAGTCTTGAGCTGTCTGGGAACTGCAGCCTCACTCCATCCAGCTCATTAGGTTGCATTTAATTCTAGAAAAAATTGTAAGGAAGTGATGTGCGTTGGGCACCATTGCTGAATTCAAGCTGCTCAAAATCTCTCCAGGGAAGATAGACAAGTGAGTAGCTACCCTTGTGTCTAGATGAGCTATTCCTGCAAGAATTGGAAGGAGGTGAGAAAAAAAGACTGAGCTCTCTGACAGAGCAGTCATACGCTTAGCCATATATGTATCTATTGTTTTCATCATTTCAGGATCAGTTCTGGCACTTCACCTAATCCTCCCCATTCTTCCCATCCATTTATAAAATGTGTCACCTGTACCAACAGTCACAGCCTGAGGTTGTGACTTTGCGATAAATCTCTGGCTATGAAGGAAAAGGTGTTGAGATTTCTTCTGGAGCTTTATTCCCTTCAATGAACAGAGCTGTTATAATATTATGGGTGTAATTATTTCTGAAATTGAAAAAGACAAGCATTTGAGAAAACGCACCCCCAGCCTATCTTTTCCTTCCTAAAATGCATGAAGAGACTTAAGGCACTGCATAAGTAGATTACACAGTGTGGGTATTGCCTCTCTCCCAGATGCTTTTAATTTTCACTTGTTTACATGAAGACTTGTTTTCTGCCCCCCACCCCCAGTGCTTGGACGGTATTCACTGATAGTAGTCTGAAACAATAGAGAGATCTGATCCGTGCTTCACAATACAGGCATGGTAATACCATAATGCCGCGTTGTTTAAGAGCTTGGGGCCTTTTGGCATTTTCCTAGTGGAAACATTGGTGTTCCCAGAATTGAAATTCATTGGGGACAATAGTCAAAGATGATTATATGATGACAGTGTTTTCTAAATATGTGAACTCTGAGCCGTTATTTGATCTGAACTATTATTTGATCACCTGGAAAGAATTTATTTAGGATTTTTGTGTCATTTTGAAATAATTACTTGTTAGGGTACGCAGTGCTGACAGCCTTGTCGATGTGCATCATATGTTTTATTTTATATCATCTCTTTTGGCAACCTTGGCTTTTAAAAGCCCTCTGGAAAACCTGCAAATAGATTATATTCAACCTAGATTCCAAAAAGTGTATGTTCCTTTGCTCCATGTCAGGTTTAGTGCATAAAAACTACATGGGACTTCTGCATGAGAATAGTTTTCATCTTCCTA